CTGCTACAGTTTCAGATAGATTTTGAGAAGCTGGAACATGTCCAGAGGAGAGTGAACAGGGTGATAAAAGATTTGAAAAACAAACTCTGTGAGAAATGCTTGAGGTAACTGGCCTCAGAGGTGACATGATAGCTGTCTTCAAATATTTGAAGGGCTGTCATGTGGAAGATGGGGCAATCCTGTTTTCTCCAGCTCCAAAGGGTAGGATTCAAAGGAATGGATCCAAATTACAAGAGAGGCAATTTCAACTAAGCATGATAAAGAACCTCTTACAGTAAGAGTTGTAGAACAAATTGCCTCAAGAATATGAAGGTTTTAAGTGGAGGCTTGATGGCCACTTGTCATGGCTGCTTTAGGAGCAGATTTCCCGCTTCTGTAAGGAGCTGGGCTTGATCATCCTTGGGGGTCCTTCCCAGCTTTAAAGTTCTATGATTCTTTGATCATGGTCTGACTAGGTTATGAAATCCTGATATAGTGTTAATTGTGTTGTTATTCTTGTAGCTGGTGCTGCTTCTTCATAAAATCAAGTTACCACCTACAAATTAATGACCTCCAAAATGTCCTATCAGTAACAGCACTGCTCTGGATGTGCAAACTAAAGGCTGTGGGCTTCCTCTATTGCTCAGCCTTCCTCTTTTCCTAGCCTTATTCTATTTTCCTGAGAGTCAGCTTTTCATGAAATATCCAAAAGCATGACAGCCTCAGTTAAATCATTTTAGCTTCTAGTAAGAGTTCAAGTTTGAGTTGATCTAGAGCCCATTTATTTGTCTTTCCAGTGGTCTATGGTTTCTGAGTGTAAAGTGATCCTCCCACATTGTGAATGAATAATTTTATTCTGTCAGTTTCTTCACCATCCCAGCTTTCACATTCATACATACTGTTTACAAATACCACAGTATGGATGAACTTGCCCTTGGTCTTCAACAATAAATCCTTACTTTTAAGGATCTTTTCTAATTTCCTCATAGTTGCTCTTTCAAGCCTCAGGCTTTTTATATCTCTCATATACTGTGCACATTGTTTTTTTAACTATTTGAGCTATTCCAATTGTTTCAAACTGTCAAATTGCTTATTTTTTAAAAATCTCTGTACATAGTTCTGAGATCTTCTGAGATAGGATGAGAAATAATTGTGACAATTAAAGAAAGCTCTTCAAAACATTCAGGCAATTGCAGTTTATTAAAAACAAGTGTCCAATGTGTTTGGCCAAATCTATCTGTGGCCTTCTTCAGGGGCTAATCAAAAGAGGCAAAGAGGGACAAAACACTGGGGGTCATCATAAAACATTCAGAGAACATTTTGTTAGATGCATTAAAATCAGCTTTACAATACAATCATCATTCTAAACTATCATTTTCAACACTTACAGAAACAGTCTAAGGTAAACAGAATAAGGAATATTAGAGACTTTTGTGTCTCTCCATTATATTTGGTTCCAATGGATGTTTCCAGTTTCTTTGGGCCTCTACAATTTGTTAAAAAGCAACCATGTTTAAAGAAGCAGCTGACAGAGAGCACACTTACTTGGAATAACATTCCTTTGAAGTGGGTAACATTTTTATAAGTGTAAATGTACTTACAGTTGAGGTGTAACACAATGATAGTGAAAAATAGGGTTAGAAAATGGAAGTAAGATATAGGTATTTCTGAGTGCCATAAACAGGGATGGGAAGCAAGAAACACAACAGCGCTGTTGACTTTGGGTCTAGCTTGAGACCTTCTCAGAAGCATTTGGCCAACAAACTGCTGGAAACAGGATGTTCGAGTTCCACCAGCCATCTCTAGATTGTATCCTTCTGAATAGAGTTAGATGGGTTAGATGGATGTTGGGAGCTGCATTCCAAAATGTCTTGAGAGAACAAGGTTCAGGCTGGGGGTAGCAATTTTGTCAGATTTAAGGTGCAGATAACTTTATATGACCAGAATCCTTTGGGGGTGGGGCACACAAATAGCCAAAAATGCAGCCACTCCTTAAACATCTCACTTACCCTGAGAGACCTCTTTATATGCAGAGTTTTGCAAGATTTCTCATTTGGTACAGAAACATTCTAACTATAAATGGATCAATGAGGGGAGGGGGGGAGAGACCTAGCAAAATCACGATAAAATAATGCTGGTAAATCATGGTGAACATTCTGATGCTGAATACAGGTACACATCTGCCCTTTAAAGTCCAATTTGGATAGGTGAGCTCTGCTCTGTCCATTTAATTAACAAGAAGTGGCCAGGATCGCTTAGGCTGTTTCAAGCTATGACAAGGAAAAGGTGTGTATATGTGTGCGTGTGCGTGTGTGGGGGGGGGAAATGTCCATTTAATTAACAAGAAGTGGCCAGGATCGCTTAGGCTGTTTCAAGCTATGACAAGGAAAAGGTGTGTATATGTGTGCGTGTGTATGGGGGGAGATCTAAACATAACAGACAGCATATAAATTCTAGTCCTTTGGTAAATACAATTATTCTTGCAAGCGATTAATGTGGAAGAAATTAAGACCAGAAACAAAAAGCAAATCGAAGTGGACAAGGATGCTTGTGACTTAGGCAGCTTCCCTCGGAGTTTTTGGGGTGAGGTACCCTAGCTTGATCTAAGGGACTGGAATGAGCTACGGTGCAGAACTTCAGACGACGCGGAAGACCCGGAGTTGCCAAAGGGCAGAAACTTCACAAATAACTTCTCAGTTGCCAAAGGCGAAGCCCCGCCCCCCATCGTTTGGCAGCCAATGGGCCCTTCCCTTCGCGCAGCTTCGGGCTTCGATTGGTTGTCGCCCGTCATTCCTTTGCTCTAACCCGGGACTGGGTTTAAAGGAGTTCCGCGAAATTCCGGTCTCCTCAGACCAGGGCCAAGTGGCGGGAAGGTCCTGCCTGCACCCCCCTCCCCGGTTCGCCTCTTCCCCTCGCCCCCCCTTTCCCGCTAAACGGGGGCGCTTCGGCTCCTCATTGGGCTGCTCGCGGAAGGCGCTCCAGCCCGATCCGGGCGATCTTTTGCGGGCCGTCTCGGCATCATGAAAGCCTCCCGCCGCCTCTGAGACGGAGCCCCGCCAGGCGACCATGTTGAGGCCGCCGCCTGCGTACGAGCTGGCCGGCTACCGGCAGCCGCCGCCCTCCTCCGCCTTGCTGAACAAGCACGTCTCCGAACGGGCGGACTTCGCGGCACCAGAGCCGCCGCCGCCCCGGGGCCCCGGGAGCCTCCCGTCCGGCGGGTCCCTGGCGGGCGACGCCAAGAGCGAGCAGCAGCAGCTCCGGCGCAAGATCAACAGCCGGGAGAGGAAGCGGATGCAGGACCTCAACCTGGCCATGGACGCCCTGCGGGAGGTGATCCTGCCCTATTCGGCGGCCCACTGCCAGAGCTCGCCCGGGCGGAAGCTCTCCAAGATCGCCACGCTGCTCTTGGCCAGGAATTACATCCTCCTGCTGGGCAGCTCGCTGCAGGAGCTCCGGCGGATCCTCGGCGACCTGAGCGGCTCCGGCGGGGCCCCGAGGCTGCTGCTGGCGGCGGGGCTGCCCCTCTTCGCCGCCGCCCCGAGCCCGGTGCGATTATGATTATGATGATTATGATGATGATGATTATGATGATTATCATCATCATCGTCATCACCACCAGCACCACCACCACCAGCACCACCACCCTCCGGACAGCCTGCGCTCGGCCAGCAAATACCTCTCGGTGGCCCTGGAGGAGCCGCCGCCGCCGCCCTGCAGCCCGGCGCACCTGCCTGGCGGGGCGAGCCTCTGCACCTGCGGCGTCTGCAAGTTCCCCCACTTGGTGCCCTCGGGCCTGGGCTTGGCGGCCGTGCAGGCGGCGCAGTTCTCCAAGTGACGCCCCCACCACCACCACCTCCCTTTTCTCTCCTGGTCGGGCAGCGGGCGGCGGAAAGGAGGGACAACGGCAGGGCCGGCGCCCCGCTCCCCGGTGGAAGAGCCTGCCCTTGCGGGCCAGCGGCAGCGCTGCCAACGCGTTTGGCCCCGAGAGAGAGAGAGAAAGGAAGGAAGCCTCAAGACCTGTCCAAGGACTTCTTCGCTTGCTGGGAAGGGCGGGGGTGCGGGGTGGGGGTGGGAGGTCGCTTCCAAAAGGATCGAGAAGGATGGCGAAGCAAAGGGCGGGGAAGAGATGTTCAATGAAAATGAAGCTGTCATCAGTCCAACTTACTTTATTAAATACACAGTTTTGGCAAAGCACCGTAAACACCAACCCTTCCTAAGACTGTCAGCAACCACCTGTTCCTAGCCATCTGACTTGGGAAGCAACCCCCTGAAACAGTGGGATTTACTTCTAAGTGAACGCGCATATAAGACTGGGCTGTTTGTCCCACCGATTTCAGCTTTCCCATGCAAAGCCATGAGACCCGAGACCTCCTTAATTTGACCTGAACTGCGGTGTTGGATCGGTTTGACTTCTCGCAGCTCAAGCAACAGGTCTCTCTCTGGCACTAGCGAGCATTCAGACGGACGGTTAGCTTGGCAATCAGAGACAGGCAGCCTCTGCGGCGTTTCCCAGTTAATTTATTTCTAGATTGATCCTGTCTTGTTTAAATATTTGAAAATATTGCCACGTGGCGATCAAGAGGCTTGCTGCCCAATCCCACCCATCTTTACTCAAAAGTAAGTCCTAATTATTCTTGTAGGACTGACACTCAAGTCAATTATGAACAGGGTTATGGCCATGGAATACAATCGTAAACCCTGTTTAAGCCCGAGTCCCACTGATGTAAATGGGACTTGCCCTTCCTGGAGATGTGCCTAGAGTTTTAGCCTTTCAGCGCCATCCTATAATCTTCAAATGCGAACCCTCTTGAGTTCAATGGGCCTGAGTCCCAGTTAAGTGCAGCTAGGATTTCAGCTATCCTTTACTAAAGTTATGAAGTTGTAACATTTCCCTGAGCCCATCACCATAAATGTTTGAGTTTAGTGGTGAAAAGTGAAGCAGAAGTGACATTGTCTGGGTACAGAAAAATAATAGTTAAATGCTTCTGACTACCTTTTATAGCTCCTTCTGTTAGGTTACCATGGATTTTAACATTAGATTTTACTTCTATTTTGGATATAGGTGTTTTATTTTTAGAAAAAAAAACAGAACTCCAAATGAGTATATTCTAATATGCTGATCTGATAATATGTAATTTTTTGCCACAGGAAGTTGTGCCTTTAAAAATCTCTACTGCTTTAATTTATAATTTACCTTATTTAAACAGGCATTTAATGGAGAGCAGGAAAAAACCTTTTAAATAACTTTCTATACAATTTTTTTCCAGTTCTCTGGACTTATGAAGCTATATAATTCCAGCAACAGTGTTTGATGTTTTAAATACACTTGTGTATAATTGGTTGCATTTGTATTTTTGGTAGTTTTGTTTCACTTTTTAAATGAATCTGGTTTTTGAAAATTCTGTAAGAACCTGGAACTGTATGGTTATAAGTGGCACAGGTAGAACATTCATATCTCTCTGCTCATGTGCCAGTGGCTACAATATTAGTGCATTACAGGCTGTCTGTGGTTTTAGTATTAGGGCTGCAGTTCTTCTCATACGCAATGGGAATAATCTCTTGAGTGCAATGGGAATTACTTTGGTGTCAGTGTGAATAGGATTATGCAATATAAGGCTCTTTGAAATAGCATCAGCCAAGGGAGCATGATGGATGGGTAGAATTTGACTCTTGGCTTCCTACAGGCATTATGGTCACCACCCAACCCTCTTACTTTTGTGCAATATTATGCATTTAATTGTCTGGAATAAAGTAATTTTTATTGTGATCTCAATTCTCTTTCTTGTATTTTATTTTTACAAAATTAGCTTTGAAAAAGTAACCATCTCTGTATCAATTCGATGAGCAACAATCCTCATAATCACTTAAATTGGTTAGCAGTTATGATGTGCCATGCTTAGAAATTCCACTGCCAAATAACCATACTGGTCATCTGATGAGTCAGTGCTGAGGTTTGCAAGGCAATACTGAACAGGCACTTTTCTGGCCCAGCCTGCATTTATGGAAAATGGAGACTGTAGAGCACAGTTGTGCTTTAGGGCAGATGCCATTCATTTCAATGTAACATGTGCGAAAGCAATTCCACATGAGTTGGGACTGTCAAATACGTTACACTGTGGTTGGGTCATTTGCTTGACACATCTCTTTACAGATAAGAGGCAAGGACAGCATCAAGTGATAGCATCTGATTGTACTAGAAGAATACTCTCAGGTCAAGGAAGGGATCCACAGAATAATTAGGGATTCTGGAGAAGTGGCAACAAGAGAAGTAGTAGTGTTTAAGGTGGGTAGATTTTGCAGCTCATTACAACCACATGGTGATTTGAGAATGTCTTGTAAGGATTAAGGAGGACAAAATATTATGGAATTGTTGTGTTTACGGTATTTCCATAAAATAGTTTTGATAGTGGGGAGAAAAGAGGAAAAATTGAAGGATGGGGGAAAAATAAATGCATTACTTGGAGTTTCACACTTTTTCAAGACAGTGTCCAAGTCCTCTCTCCAGTTAATTTCCTCCAAGGTGCCTGCTTCAACATCATGTAGATCCTTTCCTTATTATTACAGTAAAGCTTCGGTTGGAAACTACAGGGAGGCTGGGACCTCTTTATTACCCAGTCCTACATGCCGTATCTCAGAAGCAGGACTCGCAGTGTTTAGTGAAATGTAATGGGATCCCAATTTTTATTTCCACACAGTATATTTTCTAGTCCTCCCCAGCACCTTGGAATTATCACCTTTAATTCAGAATGAAAGAAAGAGCTCTTGGTATCTTTGCTTGGAAGAAAAAGCAAAAAGCTGGAAAACTGTAAATGAGAGCCACGTTAGTTTACTAACCTATTTCCCAAGCATAGCATCTCTCAACCTAAATGCTATATGTAGTGTTACAGAAGCTTTTTAGAAAGACCGTATCCTTACCTAGATTTTCAAATTTCTTGTTTTCCTCCATGTGATCATTTTACTGGAACAAAATTTAACAAGGGAATAATTTTATTCAGAGCCCAGAAGAGTTACAGCAGGGATGACGTAGAAAAGATGTCATTAACACCAAGCACATCTAGGCCAAAATGGTCAGGAAAGGGCGACCATGACCATGGGAAGAGGAAACTTGAAGGCAGATGAAATATGCCATTAACAACATGACTAGAAAAGGGAGTGGGGCTCTTTCAACATCTTACAGGAGGCATTCCCTGATGAAGAAAGAGAAACACTGCCATCAACACATTGCAGAGTGGATGCTTCTTCCAGTCAGAAATATTTAGACTACAGGAAAAGAAGACGTGAAGCAATTATAACGGGTGCCTTCAACTTTGATCTGAAGTGCCACAGAGTAATGATGAGAGCCATCAATCAATTTACTGCAATACTCACCATTACATTAAAACCACATTACAATGGAGCATTTGTCAAGCAGTTTGGGCCAAGAGATCAGAAGGATTCAAAAGAATAAGACAAATGATTAAAATATGAATGGTTATGAACCCTACCTACGAGTAAGTGGAAGGGCTGCTGGCAAGGTGCAGGGCACTGTATATAGAAATTATCATACATACAGGGGTCGATCATCTCCCCAATGCTGTTTAACATCTTCATGAGGCCACTGGGCGGGGTCATCAGAGGGTGTGGGGCATCGTGTCACCAGTACGCTGATGACACACAGCTCTACATCTCTTTTACTCCAACTTCAGTGGATGTCGTCCAGTCCCTTCAGCGCTGCCTGGACACCGTACTGGAATGGATTGAGGCTGAACCCGGACAAGACGGAGGTCTTGAGGGTGGGTGGCCCTCCCGTCAGCGGCATAGGTGATTCCCTTTCTTTTGGAGGGACGACTCTTGCCACAAAGAGTGAGGTCCACAGCTTGGGGATACATCTGGACCCGGCACTAACCATGGAAACCCAGATGGCGTCCGTGGTCCGTTCTGCCTATTTTCATCTATGGCGGATTGCCCAGCTGCGGCCATATCTTGATCGGGGGGCCCTCACTACTCTAGTCCACGCGCTCGTAATCTCGAGACTAGACCATTGTAACGCACTCTACGTGGGGCTGCCTTTGAGGCTCATGCGGAAACTCCAGATGGTCCAGAATGCAGCAGCCAGGCTTATTAGTGGGGTGAGAAAATATCAGCACATCTCCCCCACTCTGGCTGTGCTGCACTGGTTACCCATTCGTTTCCGCATTGACTTCAAAGTATCACCTGCATTAGCCCCACTATTATTAAATTGAACAGGTTATGATCACATGGAATTGTGACCACAACTGCCTGTTTATTATCTAATTCTATCAAAGTTTTGATAGAAAATAATTACAAGAATTTATACATTCTGTGTTTCTAATCTATTTTAGCTAGAGAGCCCATTTTGCCCAACTCTTCTTAACATGATATTGCCTCATCTGATTTGCATAAATACATGCGGTGACCAGAACTACAAAATTAGAGACATAACTCCTCTGAACGGTGATATAGAAGCTTCAAGCTCCTGTTTCTCTAGAATATTTATTGTTAACTCCCAAAAGATAGAGGCCATTTCAAATGATACAGTAGTTGCCCTTTATTTCTCATTCATTCATTACTGATGGGAGACAAGCCAAAATATTATAAGTAAGGGTACAAGATTATCCTTGCAGTTGTTGGTATGTGGTAGAGTAGACGTGGTCTAGAGGGGCGGGGTATAGATTTAATAAATAATAAAATAAATAAATAAATAGAATAGAATAGAATAGAATAGAATAGAATAGAATAGAATAGAATAGAATAGGCATGGACAACTTCAGCAAATCCTCCAAGGGTGTATTGATGGCTAAAAATAAAATAAAAACAAAGAACAAAACAAAGATGGAAGTCATCAGAAGCCCACTTGGAATGTTGAGAGATGTTGGAGGAGGTGTTGAATGGTGTAAAAGGACTCCTGCAATCAACTTAAAGAACGAATTGCCACCTGTTTCTAGGATGGCACAATTCCTCTTTTTCATTGTGGAAGTTTGAAGGAAGTCAGTAGTCTGAATGGGGAAGGGGGAGGCCCTGAGCTGCTCTTTGCCAACCCCTTATCTTGAAAAACCATCAGCCACCTCACTGCTTTCACCACACATCTTTAACAGGGAGATTAAAGATGACTTTGTTGGGAGTCATCCTCTAAAACCACAGTAAGACCTTCTTTAAAGGAGAGCTTTCCTGAAGCAGCAAAGCCTTTAACTGCCAAGAAGCTGCTTGCTTTGTTGTAGTGCATAAAACTGCACCTTGAGACATGAAATCGGCGGTCCGGCACTAGCCTGGCCCCGTTCCTTCTTGGAGGACTGTCCCCAGAGAGTACAGCTTGGGGAGAGTGTATTGGCTCCGTGGAATCTTACTTGTGGGATTCCGCAGGGCTCGATTATCTCCCCAGTGCTGTTTAATATCTACGTGAGTCTGCTGGGCCAGGTCATCAGGAGGTGTGGGGCTGTCATTAGCATGCTGATGACACCCAGCTCTACATCTCCTTTTTTCCTATAACAGGGGATGTTGTTTCATCCCTTCAGCGCTGTCTGGAGGGCGTATTGAAATGGATGCAGGTGGATGGTCTGAAGCTGAACCCGGACAAGACAGAGGTCTTGAGGGTGGGTTGGCCCAGACATTAGTGGTTGGGGAAGCTCCTTCACTTTTTGGGGGTGTGTGTGTGACTCTCACCACGAAGACTGAGGTCCGCAGCTTGGGAATACACCTTGACCCGGCGCTTACCATGGAAACCGAGGTAGCGTCAGTGATCCACACCGCCTATTTCCATCTTAGATGGATTGCCCAGTTGTGTTCTTATCTTGATGTGGGGGCTCTCACAACTCTGGTCCATGCATTTGTAGTCTCGAGATTAGACCACTGTAATGCACTCTACATGGAGCTACCTTTGAGATTGATGCGGAAGTTTCAAATGGTGCAGAGTGTGGTGTCCAGACTTTTTACTGGGGTGAGAAAACATCAATATATCTCCCCTACTCCGGCGGCCTTGCACTGGCTGCCCGTTCATTTCTGCATTGATTTCAATGGCTCAGGGGCCTAACACCAAGGAAGGCCCAAAGAGAAAGAACAAGAAAGTGTCCTTCTCAGCAGTGGCCCCTCATCACTGGAAAAATATCTCCACCCCCCCTCCCGAGATCTGCCTGGCTCCCTCACTGGATGTTTTTAAGGCAGGTCTTCCTTCCTGTCAATACTTAATTTATTCTGCCATCTTTAATTGTATTAATATTGTTGTTTTATTTTATTCTTAATATTGTTAGCCACCCAGAGTAGACTTCGGTCTAGATGGGTGGGATATATATATTGAGACTCAAGCCTTGTTTGGGAGTTGAGGAATATATATATATATACTAACAATACTAAATATTTATTCTAAATCTTATTGAGTGGGCAAATCAAAACATTGCTGAGAATCATCGGAATGCAGAAGGGAAGAGTGTGTGCGCACACATTGAAATATGATCTGCCGAGAGCAACTCACAAATTATTTCAGAACAATAAATATTAAGGTGCTTTGTTATTAATTAATTCAAGTGCACTCTTACTCATGGAAAGACCGGATGTTCAAGTGACATGAGCCTCAGGCAATAATGAAATATCCAAAAAAGAACATAAATACAGTAGTGAATAGAGCAAGAATGGAAATTGAGCTCTGGTTTGGGCTTTGTTAAAATTGTCACATTTTATCATTTCCATTTTAAAAAATGAAACTGACAGGTTAATTTTGTAATATGAAATTTGCTTTCAATCCTGCAAGGTAAAAGAAGAAG